CTCACATTAGGTTGAGATGTGGGAGGGGGCTTAGACTAGGGGATTGGATTTTGAGGCTATCTCAAACCATGACAAGAATATATCTGATTATTGCTTTATCTGTCTGTCCAGACAGATATTGTGTATGCAGAGAGATTGTATTTGAGGGATATGTTCCTCTCAATATACCCTGTGAGTTCCATTCCCAAGGCCAGCAAATTCCTGAAGCTCCCCCTTCTGTGCCCTGCAGGTTTTGGCAGATTTGCAAGAGCAGGGGAATCATTCCCTGCAGCCCCTTTGCACTGTAGGAAATGGGAGCATTGCGCACATCCTGCTGCCTCCAGATTCCATTCTGGGTGTGGGAATGACCCTGTGGGGAGCAAAGAAATGCCTGGTTCTGCAGGAGCTGGAGATGCTCAAGGGGCAGCAGAACAAAGTCAGGGGCCTGGGGGGGCCTGGGGGGCTTTGGGGTCCAGGAGGGTCCTGGGGGAGTTGGAGAGGGGCTTTGGGGACTGGGGGTATAAAACCAGGACAGACCAGGACAGACCAGTACAGACCAGTACCTCCTCACTGCTCCCTGGATCTCTCCTGGAGCTGGGCCATGTTGTCCTGGGACACCTGAGCCCCCCCCAGTGCCCTCCCAGTACAGCCCAGTGCCCCCAGTACAGCCCACTGTGTTCCTGTCCCAGGGTGCTGGGTGATCCCTCTTTAGGGGGGTTGGAAAGGGATTTGAGGGGGGCTGGGGAAGATTTGAAGGGATCTGGAAGGGGTTGGATGGGGATTTGGGGGACTTCGGGTGTATTTGGGGGAGTTAAAAGAGGTTTTGGGGGCACTGGGGCATCAAAGGGATCCATGGGGGGAGAGGATTAAAGGGAAAATAGTGGTTAAGAGACATCTGGGAGGGGTTAGAAGGGCCTGGGGAGGAGAGGAGGGGCTGAACCAAGAGCAGGTGAGTCCTGAGACGCACCCTGGTGTCCCCAAGACCCTCTTGGTGTCCCCAGTTCCACCCCTGACACCCCAAGACCCCCCTGGTGTCTCCAATGTCCCCAAGGTCTCCCCACAGCCCCAGTTCCCCCCTTGACACTCCCAATTCCTCTGTCCCCAAATCCCTCCCCACTGTCCCCAAACTCAGTCCCTGATGTCCTCAACCCTCCATCCCACCCCAGGAACCCCCCCTGGACCCTCTGACCACAAAAACGCCCCCCCACCCCCTGCTGACAGAAAGGCCAAGGGCATCTGGGGACATGCTGGGCTTTGTGGGGCACTGGGTG